TTTTTTTCCATATTTATAAACTAATTTTTGGCTGAGATATGACCGTTTTCATTAATTCTGACTGAAAATATTGAACACTACCATTTTTAGCCACTAGATGGCACTCTAGTAGTATGGCATGCCGTTGCGTCATGTAATAGGTAAAAGTGGCTATTAATGACACAATCGGCTTGCCACAGCCTGCCACATTCATCCAGCTTGCCTGGAGTAACTGTCAATCAGCTTCATTTTGCGGCGCCGCACTGGTGAAATGTAGCTGATTTGACCGTCAAAGTGCATTTATTAAGTAAAAGGTCAACTGAGACGCACCTTTACTATAATGTCGAACAAACTAATAATTGTTTTTAGGTAGATATCTTGTTAAAGTTCAAAGAAATGCGGAGGCTCGTCCCTCTGTACGTGCCCGCTTTTGCAAATCAGGTTTTGAAATGCAGCTGATTTGACCATCAAAGTGCATTTATTAAGGAAAAGTTAGACTGAGACACACCTTTACTATAATTTCGAGCAAATAAATAATTGTTTTTAAGTGTTAATCTTGTTAAATTTGTGTTAAAGTCCTCCCGGGCACGCTACCGCAGCTGCCATTTGGCAGCTAATCAATTTTTGGCACGCCACCAGCTCACATTTCTGGGTTGTCAGTGGTGACGCATAATAGTTGCGACTTATAGGGCGGAGCGACGTGTACGGCAGAAAATACGCCACTCATTATTTCCTGATCATATAAATTTGATCAAATATAACCATAATGTTATTAATGCTTAAAAAAATGTGTGTTTGAGACCAACTACAAAAAATGAAGACTTTGTTGCTTGTGTAAACTTTGTTTGGATGTCACATTTGTGATGTAAGATTATTTTCTTGGAACATCAGTCTTGTTGTTCCACTCTTTACATCCCGTGAAGCATCCACATGTCAATATTTACACATGATTCACTAATGCAAATGGCACTGCTGATATGCATCATCCATCATTGTGCAGAAATTCCTAATTATTTATCACAAAATAAAGATTTGCATGGTGCAAAAGAACAGAAAATGTTATGATCAAAAGAGCTGTTTTAGTGAACAGGGAATGTTTACTTGTAACCCTGCAGTAAAAAGACAGTGAACAATTTGGTGAATAACTATTTTGAGCCACTTTAACAACAGTTCTGTGCTAGGGTAAAATAAATAAATAAATAAATAAAATGGGAGGGGGGTTGGTGCCCAACCTGAACTCGTTGAGTCCATCGATTATTCGATTGTAAGCCAGAGCTCTCTGACTGGCATCTGCTGACCGCCGACTCATCTTCATGGCCTTGAGAGGGACACAAAACACACAGTTTTAGACATTTGGCACAGAGGCTATTAAATGGAGGAATTTGTGAGGGAGGAGACACAAAAGGGATGAGCAGAAAGTGGGACTGAGGATAAAACGGAGTGATTCAGAGCTGGACGGTTCCAGCAGCGCAAACAACAGAGATTTACAAAGTACTGACCGGTCAGTCTGACACCAACGCAAGCTTTGCATTACATTTGGCAACACTACAACAGCAGTCTTATCTCCTTCGTGTTAACCAGGTTACTGATTTACAATATTAATGTAATAAAACGTTAGCCTGCGATAAACAATTGACCGGGAATATACCTGCTCGATGGCACTCTTGAGTTTGTTCATGTGGCTTTCGAACAGAGGGAAGTGGGAGAAGAAGAAATCCTGGAAGCGGCTGTCCTCTTCTGGGTTGGAGGACAGCGTGAAGATGACTCCGATGGCGATCTTCTTCTTCCGCATCACCCCCAGGCTCTGAGCTCCACTTTCATCAGACATGTTGAAGCTCTCCTCTACCGACCTGATCAGAGAAAGAGTTCACACATCAAAGCATGAAGGAAGGCAAAACTAAGGGTGCAACCATATTGTGCTATTTGAAAAGCTTTGATCTCATCTTTTATATTACTTTGTTCTTACATAGTCTGCTGTAATTTTACAACAATTAAAAACTAATATTTAGTTAAAAGACAGAAGAACTGGAAACTTAAATGTTTTTAATAAGCAACTAAAACACAAGTTTTGAGTTTTAGTCTGTTTTCTTGTTGCAGCTGGTAAACTAGATGCTCTGGTGCTGTTGAACTGGAGCGCTGGGAAGATACTCAGAAGCTGACAGCTGAGTTTATAGTTGAAGGGCCAACACAACATCCTGTTTAGTCACAGTCCTGTTAGGGATCAGTTATTAGTACACAGCAGCAGTGTCTGTGTCATTTTCCCAGCTGCCTGCTGGATTCTGAGGAAGTCCACGCAGGATCAACTTTACAAAGGCCAGACGGAGGCCCTGAACAGGGACGGCAGTGACCGACAGACTCGATGTGACTGATGGAGCAAGTTGTGTCTGATTAAAGTGTGCGATTGCCCGAGTGCTTTAGGGCTGAATATACAGTATGTAATATCAAATATTATACGTCTTAGCAGCTTGTTTAGTGGCAAAACAAAGTGGATTTAGACACTATTTGGGTGTCTTACAAACCACTAAGTCAATGGTTAAAATGACTTTCTAAGAGTACCAGTATATACAGTACATTTACTTTTTGTGTGTGAACACTTATGAAGTATTCACACTATTGTGATCAATTGTTATTTAGTATATTTGTTAGAATCTTTCTCGTTCCACAATTTTTGTGGTATTTCAACAAATCATAAATCAAAACATTCAGCTCATTCAGGAGAAGGGTGCTTTTGGTATTGGTGCAACTTTAGCTTTTTGAAATATTTAGCCTTTTCTGCCACTTTTTTCCCCTCATGAAAAATTAATTGAGCTCCTTTTACATCCTTCAAATCTTTAGATCTGTTTACAACTGTTTACAGCTTTCATATTTTGTTCTGATTCAGCTTCTTTCAGCTTCCTTGTGCAAATTAAAAATTCTCAGCTACTTTCAGCTACTTTCAGCTGTTTTTTCAGCTGTTCTGTGCTGCTTTCAGATTGTTTCTACTAACTACAACATGTGTGTGCTTCTTCTAACTCCTTTCTGCTAATTTCAGCTTCTTATGCTGCTTTCAGCTTATTTTTGCAAGTTTTACCTTTTACTGCTATTTTAGCTACTATTCAGCTGTTTTTATGCTAATTTTAGCTTTGTCAACTAATTCTGCATTTTTTGCACTCATTTGAACTTTTTCAGCCCAGTAAAAATGTGCTCTCTTCACTTCCTTCTGGTTATTTAAGCTTCTTTCTGCCTTTGTAGCTACTTTTCAGCTGTTTATTGCTAATTTAAACTTTTTTCAGAAAATTTCCACTATTTTGTGCTCATTTCTGCATCTGTCAGCAAATGTATTCTGTCTGTTTTCTTCTGTTAATTTAAGCTTGTTTTACCTTTTCAGCTACCTTTTTGGCATTGTTTAGCTAATTTCAGCCGTTTTCAGATAAATTAAAGTTTTAATGAAAATTCCTGCTACTTTCAGCCAAATTAACTTATTTCTGCTAATTTCAGCTTATGCTCCTTTCAGTTGATTTCTGCTAGTTTCAGCTTTTTTGCTATTTAAGCTACTATTTAGCTGTTTTTGTGCTAAATTTAGCTTTTACAGTTAATGCCACATTTTTTAGCTCATTTCACCTCTTTCCACTTCTTTCTGGTAGTGTAAGCTTCTTTCTGCCTTTTTAACTACTTTTTAGCTGTTTTTTGCCAATTTATTCCTTCATTTTAGCTAATTTCTTATTTTTTGTGCTCATTTCTTCTCATTTAAACCTAATTCAGCAAGTATGTGTTCTTTCTGATTTTTTATGCGAAGTTAAGCTTGTTCTTCCATTTCAGCTACATTTCAGCTGTTTTTCAGCAAGTTCTTTAGCAATAAGCATTCACACTGCATTTTCACAGGAAATGCAATTTCTCTAGTTTCAAATGAACTGATGATGAAAATAATCTATTACACCAGCTTGTTTGAGCGAAATACAAGCACGTCGGCCTCTTTTGTTCCAAAATGAATTTCAGTTTCTATTAATTTGTTTGTATTTTAATTTGCATTGAGGGCTTCAAACAGGTGTGTTTGTACGCATGAGTTCACGTGTCTCACCATCGAGGGAAAACGCCGTTCTCCAAGCTGGTGGTTTGACTGCGGAGCCATCGGCGCTGGTAGCTGGACGCACAGCTGCTGTTCAAAGAGGAGCCCGGGGACGGGAAGGGAGTGATCAACAGGCTGCTCAGAGAGGCTGGAAGGACACGAGCAGGAATGGAAAGAAGAGCCAAGGAGGAGAGAAAAGAGCCAAAATGAGTAGGAGTTGCACAGAGGGGAACGGGGAACAGATGGAGGGAATGGTGGGTGGCAAGAATAAAGGGATAAGAGTGAGTCAGACAGAAACTGCGTAGGGTTATCAATTTACAATGAGACATCCTTCACACACATAAACTGGAAAGAATGAGGCACAGTAGGTGTCCCTAATGTGAAAAATAAATCCTTCAAAAAGGTGCAAAAAATGAATGACACAAACCCAGACCTATTTCCTTGTTAAGAAAACAACCTTTAAATACTGAACAACTTTCTTACAAGATCGATCTAATATCAGACAGTTACAAGTTGAAGATTTCCACCAAAACTTGGCGTGACAATGAAAACCTACACACACACACACACACACACACACACACACTCCATGTAAAGGTCCATGACCACAGGGTTATTTACATTATCGACAGCAATCTCTGATCTCAGCATGTTAACAAAACTACTGCAATGTGATTAAAAAGGTGGATGAAAGTGAACATTTTGCACATTAGAAATTTATGCTGGTAAGAAAATCAGACAGGAAAATCTGAGTGGATGTGGAACATGAATGTTTGCATGCATGCATGCCCGTCTGTCAGAGCTGAATAAAGAAATCTCTGGCTTTAAACACAGTGGGGGGGGGGGGGGGGGTGAAGATGAGAGGAAGAAGCTTAAATTAGAAGCTCATTTGCTAGTAGCTGGTTTAAAGAGCTGCTATATTTATTCAGGTCCATGTGACCCATGCTTGAGCAAAGAAAGCAACGCAAGTGCCAAATGGATGTGCGGATGGTTGTAAAGGAAAGTGGATAGAGGGCAGAGGGGGCTTTTAGAGGTCAGTTTCTGTAGAACACGACTGAAGAAGCTACAGTGGTGCTAGAAACTTTGAACCCTTTAAAAGTGTCTATATTTCTGCAGGCGATATGACCGATAACATCATCAGATTTTCACACAAGTCCTAAACGTAGATAAAGAGAACTCAGTTCAACAAATGAGACAAAAATATTATACTTGGTCATTGATTTATTGAGGAAAATGATCCAATATTAAATATTTGTGAGTGGTAAAAGTATGTGAACCTTTGCTTTCAGTGTCTGGTGTGACCCCCCTGTGCATCAATAACTGCAACTAAATGTTTCTGGTAAGAGTTGATCAGTCCTGCACACCAGCTTGGAGGAATTTTAAACCATTCATAGCTCAGAACAGCTTCAACTCTGGATGTTGGTGGTTTCCTCACATTAACTGCAGCTTCAGGTCCTTCCACAACATCTGGATTGGATTAAGTTCAAGACTTTGACTTGGCCATTCTGAAACATGAACTTTACTCTTCTTGAACCGTTCTTTGGTAGAACCACTTGTGGTCATTGTGTTGCTGCATGACCCACTTTGAGGTTCAGTTCATGGACAGATGTTCTGACATTTTTCTTTAAAATTCTCTGATATAATTCAGAATTTATTGTTCCATCAATGATGGCGAGCAGTCCTGGCCCAGATGCAGCAAAACAGGCCCAAACCATGACGCTACCACCACCATGTTTCACAGATGGGATAAGGTTCTTATGCAGGAATGCATTCTTTCTCCAAACATAACACTTTTCATTTAAACCAAAAAGTTCTATTTTGGTCTCATCTATCCACAAAACATTCTTTCAACAGTCTTCTGGTTCGTCCACGTGATCTTTAGCAAACTGCAGATGAGCAGCAATGTTCTTTTTGGAGAGCAGTGGCTTCTCCTTCAACCACGCCATGCACACCATTGTTGTTCAGTGTTCTCCTGATGGTGGACTCATGAACATTAACATCAGTCAATGTGGGAGAGGCCTTCAGTTGTTAGAAGTTACTCTGGGCTCCTTTGTGACCTCCCTGACTATTCCACGCCTTGCTCTTCAAGTGATCTTTGTTGGTCCACCACTCCTGGGGAGGGTGTAGTGGACTAAGCCTGATGTCAAAACTGACCAGATGGACAGAAACTGTCATTTCATTGATTTGAATCCAGAAATACAGTTTGACCCATCCTGAGACTTTCTGTCTTGAATTAATCAAGTGGAAAAGACAATTCTCTATGATCATTACTATTTTACAAATGTTTGATAATCAAATTGTGTTAGTTCAAACAATGTTTACGTGTTGAAGTGAACTACTCATTTTTATTTACTTAAACAGTAGTAATGATTTTTAGTCCTCAATTCAAAGTGAAATCAAGTTAGAGAACATTAGAGAGTAATGATTCAATTTCTTGATTTTTCTGTCTTCAATGAGCAAATTTGTAAGTGTGTTAAAGTTCAAGCTTCGGTCAACTAGAAAGTTTACTGAAAAGAAATGTCATGTTTAACTTTTACAGCAAGATACAGGAGAGGTGGCACCACGAAGTCTGGTTTTTCCATGATATCTTTCTGTCTGTTCTTAAACAATCCTTGACTTTCCATAACACCTTACATCACAAACCACACCTCTGTTCTGGTCCATCCACCAATCAAAAAGCTCTCAAATGAACCGGAAGTATAGCCCGTTTAAATGTGGCAACTTCCCAGTTCAACAGTAGAGTTCAAGAGTTTTGGGATCCAGAAGGCAGAGAGTTTGGGAGTTCATGAATGCAAAACGCAGGCATTCATGGATGCTGCTAAACCAAACAAGCTGAACCAGAGACGATTTTGGGAATTATAACTTCTGTTTGGATAACCTCGCACGGCTCTCTAGGTATTTGGCTGTTCTCACTGAGACGCTGAACAGTGGTTGGAAGTGAGACTCCACACCGGAACTGATCTATCTTCAGAAAAGGTAAAAGTCGACCTTCACCAAAAGTGTACTGTTTGGGACAAGCTGAGTTCCGAAGGAGCGTGCACGTTCTGGTTAAAACAGATAAATTCCCTCACACATCTCTCTGTAAGATAAATCTCAATTTTCCATCTTTAAACTCTCCTTTCTGCTAGAAAACTAATCCAGATGTTTTCATTAATGTCTGTGGTGATGCAACGGAAAACCATGGCCGTATGGTTTCCTAGTTGTAAAACTGATTAATTATATGTTGTTGTTTTCATATTTTGCCAAATTAATGTAAATGTTTGATGTTAAACTTTGATTCTGTAAAATAAATGACCGCATTCATTTTGATGGGTCAAAGAAAAATGACGTCTCACGTTACATTTCATTGAATTCAATGCACGTTTTATCCAGTCCAGAAAGATGAGTGAACCCGTTTTAATTGATGAATATATCAGCATCTGTTCATCTACAAGGGTAACAATGGTCTTGAATTTCCTCCATTTGTACACAATCTGTCTGACTGTGGATTGGTGGAGTCCAAACTCTACAGATGGTTTTGTAACTTTTTCCAGCCTAATGAGCATCAACGACTCTTTTTCTGAGCTCCTCAGAAATCTCCTTTGTTCCTGCCATGATCCACTTCCACAAACATGTGAAGAGCAGACTTTGATAGATCCCTGTTCTATAAATCAAACAGGGTGCCCACTCACACCATTTCATCATCCCATTGATTGAAAACACCCGACTCTAACTTCACCTTCAAATTAACTGCTAATCCTAGAGGTTCACATTCTTTAGCCACTCACAAATATGTAATATTGGATCATTTTGCTCAACAAATAAATGATCATGTATAATATTTTTGTCTCATTTGTCTAACTGGGTTCTCTTCATCTACTTTTAGGACTTGTGTGGAAATCTGATGATGTTTTAAGTCATATTTATGCAGAAATATAGAAAAATCATAAAGGGTTCACAAACATTCATGCATGCAAATATCCCAATACTCCAGTCCACCTTTGATTACCATTATTCTGTTTACTTAAATGCCTTTCAGATTTAAAGTACTTAAAAGTGATGATGTTTTCAAACAAATCTTTTGCACTGCATTTTTTATTCACATCAGCCTTCTGAGGAAACAAGCAGACCGTTTTAAGGAGGAAAAAACTTTGCTTATGTGCTCTTTTTGCACAAGCACTCTTAAAGTTTCTGTTGGTTGTGTAACAGCCAGTCATGTGAACTTGGTAAGTGAAGTCAAAGCAGGTCAACCACACGCACACAGGAAGTGCATAGGAAAAAACACATGTTCAATTGCAGTATCACATGCATTCCGGAAAGTTCACATCAGGAAAAGAAAATATTTTTAGAAGCCTATGTTTGACTTGGAAAAGCAAAAGTAAATATAATGTTGCTGTTCTGTTTTACTAGCTCTGTCCTCTTCAGAATAAATCTAAAAACAGTTCCAACCTCAGCCAAAGAACTCAAAGCTGCTCCGAGTGTGGGACAATCCAGGCTTTGGGTGCAAGTCTCATTAACGTACCTGACCTGGCGATGCCACTGTCCCTCTCGTCGTGCAGACCTCGGCCTGGCATGTCCATTGGGTGACTGTGGCCTGGAAGAATCAAAGTGTGAGAAGAGGTGAAAAAGACAAAATGTTTAAAGTTGAGTGAAAAAACAAAAAAGTAAGAGTGAAAGACAAAAAGATGACACTAACTCCTGAACCTGTGATTAATAAAACAGAACTCAGATATGTGTAAGATGCACTTAGCACCATTTATCTAAAGAATTGTAGTGTCATCTTTAACATCCCATGTCCAAGATAAAACAAGTCCAATTTTACTGCAAAGTAGCCGAGCAGTTCTTCAGCTGAGCATCAAACATTTTGCAACTCTTGTAACAAGAAGTGTTACCGGAAAAACAAAACAACGCTATTGTTGAATTAGGCTGTTTCTCATAAACTCGCTCTTACCATCAACAAAATCTGCTACAGACTTTCAAAAATCTTTCAACATTTTATTAACTCTTAAAAACTAAAGTAAAATGTGGAAAAACACACAGACAGATCAGAAAATGAAGATTTGCACACTGCAGGACTTCACTTTTGGCCAATTCATTGGCACCAGGTAACAAAAGATATTAGCTCAACACCTGGTAATACAATAAATGAGTCAAAAGTGAAGTCCTGCAGTGTGCAAGCCTTTATTCCTGATTTTTCTATTCAATTTCCTGCATTAGGCTAGACGGCTACAAATTTTAAAATGTGAAAAACATCGATATGTTTCACAGCAGGGAGGCGTGAAAACGACAAACAGCATATGAGTGAAAAAGCTACAGAGCGTGCCAATGTGAGGCCGATTAAAACTAAATGATGAATAGAAATAATAGAAGGACACTCACTATTATAGAAAGAGCACAAGTTCTATCTCCATGTGAAAGGTAAAAGTGACAACTAATGACACTTGAAGTTCATGTTTAATGTGCTGTAGCAACATTTCAGAGCCTTTAGGTGGTCAGATTCTAAGTAAACGCCAATAAATCAAACATGAGTCTGATTAATCAATTGAGACCCTAAATGATACAACCAAAAAAGTACAACAATGTCAGAAATACAACGAACATATAAAATAAAAATAATTAAACTGAGAAGACCTCCAAAAGGCAGCAAGACCGTACACAACTTATAAGAAAAACAAATTATCCACAGACAAACAAAGAATTTGCACAGCACTGTTGCATTATGACACTAGTTGGGAAAATAATTGTAATTCTTTAACAAATGAAGAAACAAAAACCCAAGTTATTTTGAATGCAAATGTTACAAAATGAACACGACTAATGTAACCACAACATTTTTATATAGAAACAGCCTGATGTTCAGCATGTGTGACAATGTGTGATAAATGACGGAGAAAACCCCAGTGTGACTCTAATAAAAGCCTATTTAGCAAGTGGATGTGTCTGAATAGCCCAAGGTTAAAAAAAAAAAAAATGGAGGAAGTGTTGATGACCATCTTTTCTGCATTTTTGAATGAAAACCAACAAATCATTTTAAACTGAACTGACAGTTAAACTGTTTAACTTCATTCATGTCCATTAATAAAGCCTGGAAGAGAAAAGCAGAGAATTCAAATGCAACTAACTAATTCAAATAAAGCCTAGTAGAAGCATTAAAGATACAGTCAAAGTGTGTTTGTGAATTTTACAGGGAAAAGTAGAAAAAGAGGTACCACTTTACAATAAGGCTCCCCTTATAGATGGCTAATAAATAGTTTAAAGATAAGTTAATTCCTCTATAAACACTTTATAAATCATTAATAATAGGTTTATTTTGCATTAATTAAGGGTGAGAAAGAGACCAAACTGACCAGTTTCTTGCGTGAGTGAGAAATAGTGAGCCAAATCTGCCACCTATATATTTAATCTAGAGTTGTTATATTAAACATTTCAGACTAAGTTACTACCTTGTAAGCATAATAAGCATTTGTAAACCTAATGTTTTTAGGATATAACATTAGGTGTATACTTATACACAGTGATATGTGATACACATATCTATATCTATGCAGTGATAAAAGTACAATATTATACGCTAAAAAATAGGTTTACAAATGCTTGTGCTTACAAGGTAGTAACTTAGTCCCTTAACTAATGCATAATAAGCAGTTATTAATGATTTATAAACTGTTTATAGAGGAATTAATAACATATCTATAAAATATTTATTAGCCATCTATAAGGGGAGCCTTATTGTAAAGTAGTACCAAAAAAGAAACTAAAGTAATGACTAATGCTACAGTGACCGACACCCGTGAACCCCATGCATTTTATAAACATGCAATACACCTGGGTCAGATACTACTGGCTGGTTTATTTATGATTTTTTTTTGTTTTAGTTTTTTTTTTTAAGAACTCCCTTTGGCTTTCAAGTAAAGTTGTTTTACTGGACCCTGCCAGAAGGAAGACGTCTGAAATAATACATACCTCCTGTGATTTACAAGATATGCAAGAGTTAAGTATTTCAGGTGGGGATTACATACTGGTACCATCTTTTAGGTCAAAATGTTCAAACAAGACTTTTTTAATGGAAGCAACCTATTTGTTTATTAAATCTTCAGCCTCAACTATATGACCCAGGTTGTTTGTAGATGTTGTGCGACTGCGTGCCATTATTGCTACCGCCACTTGTAATGCAAGAATCAACACACATGCAATGCCGCATCCTGAAAAACCACTACTGAACCAACTACAGCTTCTACGCATACATGCAACTGGCACACAGCGGTTGTAGCCAGTTTGGAGCGCCAACCTGAAAAGAAAGATGCGCTCTTGATGAGGCGCAGCGGGCCCTGTTCAGAGAAGGCCCGTCGAGGGCTGCAGAGCTGAGAAAATCCTGGGCCGGACAAACAAAACACATGGAAGAGAAAAAAAAAATAAAGGGAGAGGAAGAAAACAAAAGACAAAAACATGAGCCATGATTAGCAAACAAATATAGAGGAAAGATGGAAGTATCCTGCCCGATCATCTCGTTAGTTACAGGAGATTTTTAGTTTCTAGTTGGCGATTGTCTTCTGTCAGTGAGACAAACAAGACAGTAAATATCACTCACAGAAAACACAGCTTATTACTCATATTCCTATATATTATGATCATGATTTGGGGTTTTTAACTTAGATTTGCCAAATTGCTCATGTTCTGTCTTTTCTGTGAGGATGAGGAAGTAAATACACAAAAGAATAGAGCTGATTTTTAATATTAAAGACATGTATCTATATCTTTCTAATATGTGCGTTTTTAGTTTCTAACCCTGAGACAATTGCCGTCTATAAACTTAAAATGGTGAGAGTTTCACCACAGCAATGAGTGCAATCATCATTAGACTAAGGGAAGCACTAAAAGCATCAGCAGAGTTGGACAGGAGAGTTGACTAAACCGTTTCCTCAAAAATCATGTGCTTTCAGGGGCAGTTTTGACGTCTCTGCTCACAAGACGAGGGAGAACGTAAGAAAGAGAGCTGCTGAACGAGTCTTTCCAGTGTGGTTTGTATTTAAACCAGGAATGCCGAAAGGTCACAGGAGCTGCTGCGTTGTTTTGGTTACCTATGTTGCCTAAAAGACTGCTGGGCCCTGCGTTCTGATCTGGCCTTAGGGTGTTGCTGTCTGGTCCAATAAACTCCAGACTGTCTTGTAACCTGTGGGGGATGAAACAGAAAACAAGCAACAAAAACAAACAAAAGGGTTAATGTGAATGTTTTTCAACCATAAATTTGATTGATTATCTCAGCTTCTGAAAGAAATCTTTCATAAACAGAATGTCATGACAACAGCTGTCAATCAATCCATTAGGCTCGTCAGCGACTGACCAATCGGCGATCGCAATTTGTCCCCAAGTGAAACGCCCCTTACCTGCAGCAGCTGCACCCTCTTTTCCTCTCCCAACAATGTTGAGATTTTGCATTACAGATGCCTCATGAGCAGCTGAATACAACAGTGATAAACTGGAACTACCACAAGTTCTTCTGTATGAAGGAAACTGCAAGGAAATCTTCCTTTTTTTTGGTCATAATTACATTGTATGCTTAATGGTTGAATGAAATGCTTGAAGCTAGTTGTGGTTTGTTTTGTGCGTTTTGTATGTAGATATTTGTTGCAACTTCTGGTTGCACAAGCTTTGCTTGCTATGATCAGTTAACACTAAACCGACTTTGCATAAAGTGTCTAATAAGTTGTGAAATGTACAATTTTTACTATTACCTACTGAATTTCACTGAAAATTATTGCCATGTGTCACTCTGCAGCATGAAAACATCTACTGCAGTAAGTACTTTAAGTTATTAGTATCTGAACTTTATTTTGCCTTAATATTGGCTGATAAGGTAACAATGCCTCAGGTAACGCTGTGAGCTTCATTACCTCAGCCTTTACAGCAACCTTGTTTGTTTATGGGAGGTTAGCTCATCCTGGGTTACATTTCTGCGTGGGCGGAGAAATCTTATCATTCACGTCATTTCAATTCAATTCAGTTCAGTTTATTTATATAGTGCCAAGTCACAACAGAAATCTCAGGGCACTGCACAGAAACATTCATATTTAAAAAATAACAAGTTAACACTATTTATCTGAGGAGCAGACTGCTTTGAGTTTAACTCCATCGCAGAACTCTCATCTTGAGCAAGCATGAAGGCGACAGTGGAAAAGAAAAACTCCCTCATGAGGAAGCAACCTTTAGCAGAACAGGCTCAGGACAAGCAGTCAACTGCTTCAACCGGCTGGGTTTGAGAGGAACAGATACACAATGGCAGGTCAAGAATCACATAAGATAGAAATAGTGTGAAATGAAAACTATTCAATTTTAGCAAATGATTTAAGGAACTGAGGTCAATTAGTCCTCCAGCAGTCTAAGATAAAGACAGCATAACAAACCAAGCCTAACTATAGGATTTGTCAAAAAGGAAAGTCTGAAGTCCAGTCTTAAAACTGGACAATGTGTCAGCCTTATGGACAGAAACTGGAAGTTGGTTCCACAAGACAGGAGCCTGATAACTGAAAAATCTTCCTCCCATTTTGCTTTTGGAAACTCTAGGAACTGCAAGTAAACCTGCAGTCTGAGTGAAGTGCTCTGTTAGGAAAATATGGAACAACAAGATCTCAAATATAAGATGGAGCTAAGTTGTTGAGAGCTTTGTAGGTTAGAAGTAAGATTTTGAATTCAATTCTGGATTTGACAAGGAGCCAATGGAGAGAAGCTAAAACTGGAGAAATACGATATCTCCTACTAACTCCAGTTAAGACTCTGGCAGCAGCATCTTGGATTAACTGAAGACTTTTTAAAGAAGTATTTGGACACTCAGATAATAAACCATTGCAATAGTCCAGCCTAGATGTGACAAATGCATGAACCAGTTTTTCTGCATCATTTTTAAATAAGAGGTTTCTAATTTTAGCAATGTTACGCAGGTGGAAGAAGGCGGTTCTAGTAGCATTTTTAATGTGTGGGATAAAAGACATGTCCTGATCAAAAATAACACCAAGATTTTTAACATTCAAGCTGGAGGCCAGAATAATGCCGTCCAAGGAGGGTGAAAGACTGAAAAATTAATTCCTAAGGTGCTCAGGTCCAAAAACGAAAACCTCAATCTTGTCTGTAATCAAAAGCAGAAAATTTAGGGTCAACCAGGATTTTATGTCTGTAAGACAAGTGTAAGTAGCGGATAGGATTCATTGGGTTTCGTGGACAAATATAAATGTATTATCAGTATAACAATTAAAATTGATCCCATGTTGTTTAATAACTTTACCTAATGGAAGCATATACAAGATAAATAGTATTTGTCCAAGCACTGAACCTTGAGGAACTCCATGACTTACTTTGGTGTCTGATGAAGATTCCTTATTTAAGTTTACAAATTGGAATCTATCAGATAGATATGATTTAAACCAATTTACAACTGTTCCTGTAATTCCAAAATCATATTTGAGTCTCTGTAGTAAAATATTATGATTTCATTTGGAGTAAGCAAGCACAATTTCTTTATGTTTATTATTACAGTTGTCATGGGAAGCAGATGACGTGTGAATTAGCTTACGTGTTGAGGCTGCCGTACACACTGCTTCCCGTCCTGGCAGTGAAGACCTTACTCAGCATCAGCTGAGGTGGCGATCTGATATAAACACAGGGACAAAGATTATCAGCATGTGAGTTTATTTCCAAAACATAATTGTATGTCTGCCATATCCATCCTTATTGACCTCTAAAATAAACCATTTGAATTGAAAGAGTAGAATGAGTACAGCTGTAGTTATGAATGCTGCATTCAGCTGAGAGGTTCTGCTCCTACAAAATGTCCATGTGAACAAGTTTGCACAGGTCATGTGCAGCTTGAAACCTTCTGGTTCCCCCTTTGATGTGGTCCCCCCTCGACTACTAAAAGGTGGTGTTTCCAACTCTAGGTCCGTCCATTCTTGCCATAGTAAACAGTAAACAGTTTATCCACCGGCGTGGTGCCAAAATCCTTTAAACATGCTGCTGTCCAGCCTCTCCTGAAAAAAGCAAACCTTGACCCCTCAGTCGTTTCCAGCTACCAGCATGTCTCCAAACTCCCATTTGTTTCTAAAGTACTGGAGAAAATAGTCGAGTCCCAGTTGAAGTGCTTCCTGGAGGATCACACCATCTTAGAGCTTTTCCAATCTGGCTTCAAACCTCTCCACAGCACTGAAACTGCCCTGCTGAAGGTCTTTAACGACATCTTCAGATCCACAGATACCGGTGATTCTGTGCTGCTCGTCCTATTGGACCTCACAGCTGCCTTTGACACCATCGACCATGAGATCCTCATTGCTAGGTTGGAGCAGTGGGTGGGCGTCACAGGATCAGCCCTCAATTGGTTCAGATCTTACCTCACTGACAGATCCTTTTATGTCTCCATCAAGGATTTTAGTTCCGTAGAGGCAGAGCTTAAATGGGGGGTTCCGCAGGGGTCCATCCTGGGTCCCCTCCTATTCTCTTTATACCTGCTACTGCTTGGTGCCATTTTCCAGAAACACAACATGCCCTTCCACTTCTATGCCGATGACTGTCAAATTTACTTCCCACTAAGACACAATGGTACATGCTCTATTCAACCGCTGCTCAACTGCCTGGCTGACATCAGGGACTGGATGGCTTTAAACTTCTTAAGTTTCAATGAAAAGAAGTCTGAAGTCATGTTGTTCCCTCCCAACGACACGATCACAAACCACTGCATCGACCTTTCCGCTCTAACCCTGTCAGAAAAACAAAGAGTCACTAATCTGGGCGTGATAATGGACCCTTCCCTGAAGCTTAACGATCATGTAAACATGATCGTTAAGTCATGCTTCTTCCAACTGAGGCAGCTGTCTAAACTGAAGCCCATATTGTCCAAAAATAACCTGGAGACAGTAATACATGCATTCATTACATCTAGGCTTGATTACTGCAATTTGCTCCTGTTTGGTATCAGTCAGACCTCCATTGCACGACTACAACTGGTCCAGAATGCAGCAGCTCGATTTTTAACCAGTACAGGCAAAAGAGAGCACATTACACCAGTTTTGGCCTCACTGCACTGGTTACCGGTTCACTTTCGAATACAGTTCAAAATACTCATGTATGTCTACAAATCACTGAACAGTGTCCCCCCCCCCCCCCCCATCTCTCTGATTTGCTACAACCGTATGTCCCACCACGCTCCCCGAGGTCAGCGGACCAGTTGCTCCTCACAGTTCCAGGAACTCGTCTTAAGCGCAGAGGGGACAGGGCCTTCTCTGTAGCAGGACCAAGACTCTGGAACAAGTTACCTCTCCTTGTCAGACAGGCCCCCTCCCTCTCGGTTTTCAAGTCCCGTTTAAAAACTCACTACTATTCAATAGCTTTCAACACCAGAAGATCCGTGTTTTGATCCTGTATGCTCCACACTGGTTTGTCGTCATTATCTGCATCGTTTTTATGTCTATATTCTGATTTACCTCATTTTGTATTTTGCTTTGTGTGTTACCTGTTGTTTTGTCTGTACAGCACTTTGGTTGGCTTTGTAGCTGTTTTAAGTGCTTTATAAATAAAGTGGTATGGTATGGTAGGTGCAGAAGAAGAACGCAGTCCTCATAGTACATTTGTACTTTTCCTAATCTTTAAAGTCAAAATGTGTCAGGAATTAGACCCATCTGTCTTTCCTTCTTTCTTAATGAACTTGCTCACTTGATAAGTCTATTCCAGGGGTGTCCAATTCTGGTCCTGAAGGGTCACTATCCTGCATGTTTTACTCATTTATCTCTGCCAACACACCTGATCTATTGGTTGAGTCACCTCTTTGTATTCTGCAGAAGCCTGTTATTTACCCACTGAGTTCAATCAGGTGTGTTGAAGCAAAAAAAAAAAAAAAAAACAACTCTAACATAGGGATGCACGATACTGGATTTCTGGCCGATATCCAATATGTTAAAACGTATTTGGCCGATATAGATATTTTTTTCTAGAGCTACTTACAGAGACTACATAGCTTTCTCTGCTGTTTCTCTGCTGTGGAATAAAAATACTACTTTATTCTGCATGGTCTTTGTCAATTTGGCCTGCTACCAAATGCAGATGCCAAAAACGAGACTGAAAATGATGTAACACACGATCTATTTTAAAAAAAAAAAACAGCGCGTTTTATATCGGTGAGTTACTTTGATGAAATGGCCGATGTCAGATATTTAACTTTATCCCTAATATCGGCCGATACCGATAATATTGTGCATCCCTACTCTAAAAAATGTAGGATAGTGGCCCTCTGGGACCAGGGTTGGACAGCCTTGTCCTAAAGACTTTAAATTTTTACATAATCATAAACTAGAAATGTACAATTGTCTTACCTGATCTGGTGGATTTTAAGAGTGGACCCTTTGTAGCTCATAGCTACAGAGCCAAACATCATCTCTCCCAGCATTACCACATCAGAAGAACACCTCGAGCCCTGAGGAGGAAAGGGATCTTTTAACGCAGTTCTTTATAAACACCTGAACGTTCAGACAAGCCATCTGCAGCTTCTGAAGGTGTGCTGTAAGTACAGCAGGATGAATACATTTTAATGGAAGCCTCAGACTGGAAAGGTTACCTGGAAGCGGAGGCCATGCTCCTTGGAATCCTTGGTTTCAGAGGCACACGAGGAGGAGCTGTCCAGAGAACTGCTGCTGCCTCGGGTAGGTCGGAGCTGGCAGCATTTTCCAAACATCTTAACCTGGCCATCAACGTTCTGCAGGTTACAAACAACAAAAATATTTCAAGCTAACTGGAACTTAAGACTTGAGAGTCAACACTAAAACACTTGGAAGGAACTTTTTTATAACATTAAACGGACTAAAGAAGAAAACCTAAATGACTAAACTTGGTGCAAATCTTTGCTTTCATTATTACAACATAAAATTTTTTTTTTTTAAATCTATTTTGTCCAAGTGCAATAAGAAACCTTAATTAAACTGCAACAATTTTGCATTTGCTGTTTGTTTTTTAGTGCAAAATTAAAGCTTAATGCTTTCAATTAAATATATGCATTATCCCCAGAATAAATAACATTTACAAGGTGAACTCTTTAGAAAGAAGAAGCACCAGACTGTGTGGGTCAAAAACCACAGAAACCTAACCCAGAGGCACTTGGGTAAACAGCTAACTGACAGCAATGTGAGCTCAATCAGCCCGAGTCATGTGCCTTCTTAACTTGGCAGTCTATTCAAGAGGAATGCATTCGGGAGGGTGGCAGGGGAGAGAAAGGGTGTGTGTAACTGCAGTGTGTGTGTGTGTGTGTGTGCTTTCAGCTCAGCTCTAATGGCTTAGCTAAACTGTTGAAGCCAAACAACAACATGGAAAAAGAAAAAAACTGATTGCAACAAAGACACTTGCTTTATTAGGATGTACAGGCAACAGGTGTTGGAATATCTGTGTTTTCCATTTTCTCTCATTATGTTCCTTTGTGTCACACAGGAGCTTGTGAAGCTGCAACTCAGAGTTTGTGTTTGAGTATGCACATTAGGGTGTGTGCGTTTGCTGCAGTGCAGTGTGAGGTGTATACACAGAGTCCAGCAGCATGTGACTGCTCGTCATATGACTCTTGGAGAACTCGTGACTGAGCTGCACAGCAATCACTCCCTGCTTTTCTCCCTCCCCACAGTCCACCACTTCAACACAGCCTTCACTAAATCCTTTTACTTCTCTTTTTTCCTTTAATTCACCTTTAAACTTATTCTCCAACCATTTCCTCACTTTTATTTTTCCTCATCTTCTCTTGACTTTTGATTTTTGTCTGGCCTCACATTTTCTTTATTTCTAGCTCGATTCTGCATTGCATTTTCAAGCTGACAGTGTGTCCAAAATAAATTCTAATTGAGTTGACAAAATTCAGCGTTCATGTGATCAAATTTACCAAAGGTGCTGGCTAAGCCTTTATATTGCAGAATGTACCAAAAACAACGACTGCCTTTCATGCAACTCTTACAATTTCTGCTTGGAAAAACTTGAATGCATGTTTCTACAGGTCTCTGGGTGTTCAAAACAAAAGTCACAGTGAGAAACGACATGCTCCATTTACATGCGACGCTTCAGCAAATGCAAGGAAAGGTTCTGAGAAAGTTGTGTAAGCGTCCTGATTTAAATGCCAGGGTGACGTGGTGTGACAGCCAGAGGTCGTGAGTGAGACAATGTGACAGTGTCATTAGCGGCATCAGAAAACTGAAAGTCTATTCTTTGAGAGAATGCATATCGCCCACCACCTTAGGTGAATTTAAACTAAAATCATCTTTGGTTAAGAACTTATATTGAACTTTGAATATAATGTTAGCGCAATGTCAATTGCAAGATGTTCTGCTCAGAGTACAGATGTGTTGCAGACGACCATGCCCTAGTACCACAACAAATTTAAGCTCGTCTGTAAAACAGACTGCGTTATAGCCATTTTGTGCTGGCTAATATCGAGCTGTGGTGGCCATCTTGAACTGGCTACTACCACACTAAATTTTAGCTCAATATGTGTAAAAATTAACCAAGTGACAGACGTTTGTGTGTTTTCAAAGGTCAGTTGGCTGTGGTAACCATCATGAACTGGGTTAGCTTAAAACGTTATTCAGTTGCAGAGGTACAGCTAATGAATATTTCCTGCAAGTTTCATTCAAATTTGAACCAAAGAAAAAGTTGACTCAAATAGCATAATTTTCAACAAAATGTTTGTTCAATGAGATTGAAATTACGTGTCTTTAACACAAATGCATGCACAAACAGGTAAGAGAAGATGTGGCAAAACAAAGAAGATGAACAGACAATCTGGTATTAGGTTAAAAGCAAAACTGAGCACAGAAAAGTCAGGCAAACGTAAATTATCATGGAAGATTAAAAAAAATATACAGCAGTCCCTCAATACTTTGTGGTTCGACTTTCGCGGACTCACTCTTTTGCAGGTTTTCAAAGTATGATTGTACACGACACACGATTGGCCATAGGGAAAGACAGACCCCACCCCCTGCACCCTCCTTTTTCTTTCTGAGGCTGTCTGTCACAGCAGACAGCCTCAGAAAGAGGAAGGAGGGAGCGCGGGGTGGGGTCTGTCTTTCCCCATCGCTAGTGCTCAAGGAGCTTCAGTGAGGTGGATACCTGAGTGAGCGGCATGGATTGTTAGTTAAAATAATCAAGCGTGATCCAAATCGAGCCTTTTGTCCAGTCCCTCAGTAATCACTGAGCGGGCCAGGCCACCAGGAAATGTCCCTGTGTTCTCCATAGCCAGTCCACCTCCGGGACGAGCTCAGTAACTGTAGCATCAGTCTGTCTGCTCTCTTTCGGTGTGCTCTTTTAGAGAATTTAGAGAGTTTACAACATCGTTAAGAACATTGCAAGAGTGTGTGAAGGGCTTACAAAGCCTTAAAATATATATAAATACTACCGGTAAAATAAATATAACATTCCTACTTTGCGGATTTTCACCTACCGCAGGGATGTCTGGAACGCAACCCCCGCGATAAGTGAGGGACTACTATACATATATAGATGAAAAAGTAAAATTAATAGAAAAGCTCCAGAAGCAGAAACTAAAGAAAAGGGAGGAAAAGACTTTAAAAAAACAAAAGGCTGGGGAAAGATCTAGATCTTTTAGAGAAATGTAAGAAAAGCTAGTAAGCAAAGTTCTGAATGATTACATTAATTAGAACAAAAAATAAATCAATGGAAAAAAAAAAAAGTGAAAATATTACATTTTGATCAAGAAAGAGAGAAAATGAGAATTACCAAGAAAGAGAGATGAAAAATAGAAACAGTGAGTGACACGCCTGTCATGTGAGGATGAAAAAATGCTGCGTACATACAGGCTGTCAGCTGACGCCATTATTGGTGACAAGAAACACCAGAACAAACCGGTCAGGGTCAAACAGCAACACAGTGAGGCATAACAAAAATATTAGATGTGTAATGCAAATTTTCAAAGCCCTGAAGTGGAGACTGTGTGTCATCATTTGCTGAGAAAAAAATAAATTTAATTTAAAAAAAAACATAGTGAAAGTGAACAAAGCTGCTAATCTAAACAGAATAATTTTCAAAAGATATTATAGCACATATCTAGATAAAGACAGCAGTAAAATGAGGGTTATGCTCTCAGTGACATAGAAACAAACAGTCCTGCTGACATGTTGATAACGACCGTCTTTTAATCATGTCCAGAAAAACGATCACAAGACCTGTTTAAAACAAATCTTTACATACTTTGTTTTGTGTCTAACCTAGTTGTAGAAAAATATTTTCAGAAAAAAAATCCCAAATTCACAAGAAGCAATGACATAAAAGGAATAAAATTCAAATCAAATCTTAAACATCTTACTCAGCCCTAATATGGTGCAAAACAAAGTAAAATATAAGTCTTTATCAATAATAATAATAATAATAATATGGATAAGAGAGAGTATAATAAAAAACATGACCGAGACGGGGATGTGATGGTAACCAAAGCAAACAAGCGAGGGCTTTTAAAAGACTATAGACACAAATACAAAGTAAACATGTGACTCACGGCGGTGGGGGTTTCCTCTGTGCCCCTTTTCTTGGCATTGGAGTCAAAGAGGACATTTCTGCCACGCTTCTCACAGTCCTGGTACACTATCAGTCTGATCTGACTGGGCTCCAGCTGGGGAAGCGGCCAGCTAAATGGATGGATGGATGGACAAAGGGCAGGGAAAGGATATAAAGAAAGTGAAGATGAGAAGTGAAGATGGGAAATGGGAGAGAAAACAGATAATGCAGTTAGTACAATATTAATTCAAATTGTGCTTACCAGGAGAGGCAAACTGAATGAATGATAAAAATGGAAAACATCTCACACAACATCTGAATTAAACAGATATAGCGCTCCCTTTATTTTCTGTACCGTTTTACAACATTAGTAAGGTAACAGGAGGCTGCGGCAGCTTGGTGGTCAGTGTTGTGGTCTTATAATTTTGAGGTTGAGGGTTCGAGTCCAGGCTTCATCAGGAAGGGCATCTAGCGTAGAACAATAACCAAATCTTTCATTCGCGTTTGCTCGCTGTGACAACCCCTGAAGAAGGGAGCAGCCGAGAGAAATTTACTAGCAATAAAAGGTAACAACAACACTGCATTGAGTACTCCTATAATAAATGAAAATTAAACTAAAATATCCTGAAATAATGAATAGAGCTGAGCAGCTGTGTTTCTGCCATAGCTTATTTTGTTTACAAGAATCAAGTGACAGAGAAGAGGTGAATCTCAAGCTGGTCTAATTCTTTTTCTTTTTAATATAAATGTCAAATATACCATAACTTGAACGGCTGAGAATCTTTACAGATAGTAAGCATGTGGAAAAATGTAAACATGATGTACGTGCAAGCCAGTAATAAACACTATTAAAGTTGCCATCCAATGCAATGGCAGACAGCAAATCCATGTCACAGCTGCCATTCATGCATCTCATACCTCCGCCAGTGGGGAGACAAAGTACACGCTAAAAGTTACTACCACCTCCCATCACAGATCTACAGTCTAACCCAGGGGCCTGCAACCTTCATGACCAAAAAAAGCCATTTTTACACCTTCATTCACTAAATTAAATGAGTCCAGAGCAGCAACAACCTGCTACAACTCTGATTATCAACTGGTGGCCCATGGGCTCCTTTAGGTTTGTTGGAGGAGACTTGTGGTCAGTAGCGGTGACATTATAAAGCTAAAAATATCTATGATTTATTGATATTTTTACAATTTAAGACAAATGAAAAGACCATATTCCTGTAGGTGGGGGATGTATAAAAAAAAAAGAAAAAGAAACCTATGAAGATTTTTGAAGAAACCTATGAAGAAAACCTGTGATTTAAAAAAATAATAATAATAAAGCAAAAAGTTAAAGTATTTGCAATGACAAGAAAACAGCTAAAACTACTTTTTTGTTGTTTGTATAACAACCAATAAAATTCAGTTTTATGTTAGTTTTGTTCAAAGCTTGAAAGAGCCACTGCAGAGGGACCAAAGAGCCACATGTGTCTCCAGAGAAGGTCGCAGGTTGCAGACACCTGGTCCAACCAAATAGTAAGCAGTCGGTAAAGACAGGCTAAAAAGTAGCAACATTTTCTATATGGAATTAGAAACATTTCAACATATTTATCCTATTCCTGATTTTTAATTAGTCACATATTATTGACTAAGGGCCAACATAACCAGCCTGCAATTCACTCAGATCAGTTAAGTCATCAATATTACTGTTCCCAAGTCTTTGAGCGATTATTCACTCCTAGAAATGCAGAGTGACTAACAGTCATAGGGTCACTATCAATGCTCAGCTGACTGAAGTTGAAATTGTGACACAGTCACATTTACACAGAAAAGAAAAATTCTTCCTGTTGTTAAATTCCTGCAGGTTAAATCACCAACTTCCTTATTCTTTGTGTCAGTGGTTGTGATAAGGAGTCCCACTGTGCTCATTTTTCTCTTTGCTTTTAATTAAGTCAGCTCAAAATATGACGGTATTCATTCATTCAACCTTTATTTATACAGGTTATTTTCATTGAGCCTTGAGGACTCATTTACAAGAGAGACCTGTTTTTAACAGAGTGATGACAACAGCAGACGACAAAAAGTATAGTAATAGGTAGGTAATATCAAAATTACTAATGCATAATAACTCCTCAGCGTATTATTGCTTATTGTCCTCCACCTAACTTTAGACTCCCCCCTTGCTTGCACCTGGATGATTTATTGAGGACTGTAACGATGACTGGCAACTGGACCAGCTGATGATAGTCAAGGATTTCCATCTGATCTGAGAGATGAGTCAGGCAGATGGATGCAGGGCAGAACCTAAATATAGATCTGCATTGGGAGCAGAGAGTGTACCCACACAAAACTGTTTAAAGTGAAAACGTCGGTGGATAGAGAGGGAAAAGAAACTTAAGACCATTTGACATGCCCGCATAACACCAAAAATCCCATGATCAAATGCAGCATTTCAGTTGCTGGTCAGGAGTTTGTGGACGAAACAGGTCATTTGTGTTGATGCTAGTTTGTTTGCACGAATCCAATGTTCCATGTGCATCATCCCCATGCATGCTAAATCTGTTGTTTACCAAACACTGATGTGAAAAAAATGACACTTTTTTTTGGAGGCAAAATGATTTAGTTACAAAGTAGAACAAGGAAGGTTGACTCAAGTCTTTGGGTTAAAAGTTAAGTCTTTCAACTTTCCAGATGTACCGTAGTTTGATAACTTTGCACCTGTTTAAAGTTATTTTATTATTTTTCTTGTTTTATAGTTATGAGGTTTTCATTTCCCCATTTTAGAAACATTTTAAGGAGGTACTTGTAGACTACAAAACAATGTTATAACCGCCTTGGATTAACAGATCATCATCAATTGATAGCAGAATAAAGAATCCTTCAATGCGTCCACATTACTCTTACAAGAAAACATGAAAAATAATAAGCAAGAACTGGTAAAAGCACAACCAGGAATTTGCTTTTAGTGTTTGATATTCGCTCACAAGTTTGAGGACATCTCAACTTTAAGATAGCGCCACTTTGCCAGTATTTGTTGTGAATACAACAGACCGCTTCTCTCAGCCACGCGTTCGTCTCATGTCCTGTGCAACCAGAAACAAGGCCTCCATCTGTCCCAGAAGCCCCAAATAGTCATCATGCATCAAACACAAATACTGCTTACTGCATGGAATAAAATCACCCAAATGAGCCTAAAATCTTGAAGCATTTTGTTGACGACGGAGCTTAAGAACCAAAAGGGTGATGTTTAGCGATGCAAGATTTTACTGCACAGTTTTCACATTTTTTTTTGCTTTTGTGCCAAATAAGTTAGCTCAAAGTTGCAGTGTTCTCTTGCTTTTGTTGTAAAATTCAAGATGAACAAAACTAACTTAATGTAACTGCTTTAAGTGGAGTTTTCAATCCTCCTATGGAGTCATACACCAGATTGTTTGTTTGTTTGTTTGTTTGGTCCAGCAGTTGTTAGAAGTTAATATTTGACCACTTCACAAAAACAATCCTAGGTTTTTCTCTTGACTTGTATCTGAGAGAAGAACACCTACCCACCGAGTGTTTTATGTGCGACATGAAGCCTGTGCCTTACATAAGAGGCTCAAATCACATTGTATGGTCGATATCAGCTTTGTAGACTTGAGTGTAAGATAACGTAGGCTGATGTTTAAGTCTGTCACATGCCTCCTTGCAGTTGGACTACAGCTTCTTGTGAGTGATTTATTTATGGTTTTGTTGTTTGTTGCAATACATTTGTATTCATTTTAAGGGCCAACTTGTAAGAATCAGGTCATTTTAGCAACAACACTTCAAATACTGTATTTTCAACAATCAAAATTCTAAATAATAAAATTGCAGCTAAAAATATTCTAGCACCGTTCATAGACTAAAGAATCCCACGCAAATATATATATATATATATAAAGGCACACACACCACAATTACATCATTAAGTCAAGCAGGAACCGCACAAATGACAGGTCTGTTTTAGCCATCGCCGCAAATTAATAAACACAGAATTAAACTCAGATTTTAAGTAAAAGTCACAGAAAACAGAAAGTCAAAAGCAAAATGTGAACGAAAACGAGGCGGAAAGAGAGCAGAGGAGGAAGTATTCATCATAGAGCGTGTGACAGTCACAGCACTGATACGGCAGTGAGGGGAGTCATTCATAAAAGCAGCACATGACTTAATAGCCGTTAAATACTTGTACTAGTCCGACTTCAATTGTGTTATTAACGAACTATGATGAAAAGGTTTGTCAAGTCACAAGGTGCAGGTATGCGTTTCCTGGAAAACCTGTTGATTTAAATGCAACAGCCCTAATATCTTAAAATTCAAATAAGAAAGCAAGCTTGACCATTTTTATTACAATTATTCACCACCTTACAAATTAATGAAGTTCAATTTAAAATTTGTCTTTAAAAGTACAGAATTGCTGAACTTATCTCGACCCCAACAAGTAATCTCTAAACACGAATGGCATGCTTCCTTACAATTCACCCACATGACTCAAACTGATAGAATCAACTTTGTTCGCCCTATGCTGCCAACAATAAAAACTACTGCTTCAACACTTCTGTTACCAAGCTTAAAGGCTAAGACCATCAACATTCAGACAAAAAATTAATAATAATCTCAGAGCACAGCATTTTTAAACATTCACAAGCATTACAATGCCCCCTATGATGCACGTATGCCAGGTTAAATATTGCCACCTCCTACCTGAGCATCATTGCGAGTCTGCCAGTCTTTCCCACTCTCTATTTCTCTCCTCTCCCCTTCTCCTCTGCCAGCCACAGCAGCAGGGTCTAAGAATAGCGGTGAACTAAATTCACACAACAACATGAGACTATCAGGTGATCACAGCAACACTGTGTGCTGGACAGTACAGAGGCAGCAACAGCAGCAAGGCTGGACTGCTGACAGTCAGAACGCGTCATGATAAGAGAGTGTCAGTAGACAATTGTTTGTGTTGTTTCTTGATTCCTCTCTTTTTGTTCCTCTCTCGCTTGAATATTCTGTTCCTATTCTTGCCGCCTTTTTCCAATTTGATTGTAGTAAATGTGTAACTAACTTGGAACAAAATAGAAGACAAAATGAATAATGTGCTTAAAATGATTTTTTATGACTAGAAACAGCTTCGTAACGG